ACCTCCAACATATTTTTGTTTAATGCAACCCTGACTTCTCTTTAGAAATCTGGTGGAAAGAGCATCATACTGAACAAATTTTAGCTTTTATTGAGGGTTGCATAAAATCAAAACGTTATTTCGAAACTCGAAGTGTTACAAAATGATGATAATGACTCATTCGACTGAACTGCTGAAAAACAAAATGTCTATAAAAATATGTTGTAAATATATGTTTACTGTGAAATTATTTTGTGACTTAATGTAACCCTTGAACGTACTACAAACTAAAATTTTAGCAGTAGGTACAGAAGCCATAGAGGGTTGGATTTTAGGAAAAAACATATTGAGGATGATTTCAGCTATCTCTGAACTGCTATACAGGGTAACTCACGGTCGATGGTACGTTAGACGTTTATGGAGAACGGGACATAGGATCATTCTGAGATTTTGGTTACTCACGTAGTTGCTCTTGGTCTATCGATCTAAAATATTTTCAGCTCTACGGCGTTGCCGCTTCTATCGAAAAGTAGCAACAACTTTGTTATTTTGAATGCATTTATTATTATTATTATGTATTTTATTGCATTTTCAGATTCTCTCTGAAGAGCTGATTTCATCGATGTATCACACTTGGGGTCTAGCGGAAACGATTACAGAGATATAGGGTGTGAAAAATCGATATTTTTAAACTTTAGGAAATTTTTTTTGTCGAAACTATTCATTATTGGTCAAAACGGCTCACATGTCCCTATCTCAACTTTTGATCAACTATCTACTGACATTGAATTGTAACAAATACAGGGTCGTGCAGAATTCAGAATCTTGATCACCCGGTATATGTTCAAATTAAATTTTTTGGGATGCACTTTAAGCAATTAATCATCACGTGATTTTCCCAAGAAAGTTTATTGCTGAAAGTAATACAAAGCATCGAAATGGATGTCTTTGAAGGTATGGTTACTCCTGACAAGCTTATGTTGGGCACAGTGAGATCGGCTTTTCTAGAGAAAAGGCATGTTTGTGATTTGTTTGCATTGAAATCTACCAAGTTATTGGATCCCTATTCGAGAATTGTCGCCATATTTATATTGTCAACATTTCTTCCTCGTTCGTTTCTGATTTGCCTGGCTGGTATTGGAGCCCTGGAAGAGATGGCGGTATGGAGGGAACTATCATGCGCGAAGATGTGTACTGGACATGTTGTTGCTTCCAACAAATCGTTGATATGAAGTAGAAATACCATCATTTATGATAAGAGAGTCAGATGAAACTCCGTCGACCACTACATGGATAACGAAATGATATTATGACCTAAACGCATGTGAAACCATTGTATTTTAGCGAACGGCACTAATGCTAAAAGTTGCAGAAATTGCAAAAATTCCTGAAAATTGTAAAAATTTCAAAAATTCCTGAAAATTGGAAAAATTCCTGAAAAATGCAAAAATTGCGAAAAATCAAGAAAATCGCAAAAATTCCTGAAAATTGCAAGAGTTCCTGGGAATCAGAAAAATTTTTGAAAATTGCAGGAATCGCAAAAAGTCCTGAAAACTGTAAAAACTGCAAAAATCGCAAAAATTCCTGAACATTGCAAAAATCGCGAAAATGCCTGGAAATTGCAAAAATTCCTAAAAATTGTAAAAATTGCAAAAATTCCTGAAAATTGCAAAAATGCAAAAATTCCTGAAAATTGTGAAAATTGCAAAAATTCCTGAAAATTGCAAAAATTGCAATAATTCCTGAAAATTGCAAAAATCGCAAAAATTCCTGAAAATTGCAAAAATTGCAAAAATTCCTGAAAATTGTAAAAATCGCAGAAATTCCTGAAAATTGCAGAAATTGCAAAAATTCCTGAAAATTGCAAAAATCGCAAATTCCTGAAAATTGTAAAAATCGCAAAAATTCCAGAAAATTGTAAAAATTCCTGAAAATTGCAAAAATCGCAAAAATGCCTGAAAATTGCAGAAATAGCAAAATTGCAAAAATTC